TCTTACCAAAACCACTAACTTTGGTCTTACCCAGATCTTACAATCTTAGTTTTATCCTCTATCGATCCTTACCCAGATCGTAAATCGTTGAAAGGATGCATAAAGTTTCAATCTTGGATTCAAAAATGTTAAAAATTTTCAATGTGTGTGTACAAGGTCTCTCTCTCTCTGTTTTCTTACAAAACAAACAAAAAAAAACCTAACTTTGGTCAAACCCAGATTCTACAATCTTATGTTTATCCTAAATCAAACCTTATCCAGATCGTCAATCGTTTAAAGGATGCATAAAGTTTCAATCTTTTGAGTCAAAAATGTTAAAATTTTGTGAATTTTGGGGAATTTTGCAGCTGAAATATGAAGCACCAGGAGCAGTTGAATTAGGGAAGAGGGTTAAAGAGTTGTTAATGGGAGGAGGAATGAAACGTGTTGATGAAGATACAGAGAGAGGACTTGATCATGGAGCTTGGGTTCCATTAATGTTGATGTATCCAGAAGCTGATATACCAATTTGTCAACTCTCTGTTCAATCATCTCAAAATGGGACTTACCATTACAATATGGGTAAAGCATTAGCTCCATTGAAAGATGAAGGTGTTCTTATCATTGGCTCTGGAAGTGCTACTCATAACTTGAGGAAACTCGATTTTAATGCCGCTAATGGCACTCCCGTTCCTTGGGCTTTAGCGTTTGATCATTGGCTTAGAGATTCTCTACTTCAAGGAAGGTAGGAGTATCAAAATTACAAATCTTTTAGCTGGTTGATATGTAATAAGAATCATTTGTTGGTTTGTGTTTTTTTTTTCAGGTATGGAGATGTGAATGAATGGGAAGAGAAAGCTCCGAATGCGAAAATGGCGCATCCATGGCCTGAGCATTTTTACCCGTTACATGTTGCGATGGGTGCAGCTGGTGAAGATGCAAAGGCTGAGCAGATCCACACAAGCTGGCAACTTGGTACCTTGTCCTATTCTTCTTATAGCTTCACCTCTTCCCTTTGAAACACTTTCATCTGTGTCGCCTTCACTACTCGTCTCTCTTCTTTGATTAAGCTTCTCTGTATTTCATATCTCTGTAATAATCCTAATCATGCCTTGTATACAATCCTACTATATGTACTATAATGTATGAATACGCAATGTGAATCTGAATAATTTGGGTTATCTTCTTTGTATCATTTTCAAGATCTGAAGGATGTGTTTTTGCTGAATCATAAAGTAATTCATCTCTCATTTACATTCTGATTCCCTCTCTTGTAAGTTAAAAGTGTCACTTTTTCAAGCAATACAAAACCAAAAAGGATACAAAAAAATGTAGTTTTGTTATTTCACTTTGATCTTCTCTTTAGTTTGCACCACATACCATTTTTGGCATGAATCGTAGCGCCGCTCACAAGTTCAACAGATTCCGGCGACCCGCGCAGCTCCACGTCAAATTTCTGCAACAACATAGCTAGTGCAACTGTCGATTCCATTAGGGCAAACTGGTCTCCAATGCATTTCCTTGGCCCTCCACCAAATGGTAAGAATGCAAAGTCTGATACGATCTGTTATCACCATACAAAAATGCAAGTCTTATTACAAGGCATAACAGGGCTAAAAGTTTATAAGATTTCAGTTTAATTACTGATTTACACTTTGAGAAAGATGATCCAAAGATTTAGGCAGCACCTAAAGATAATGAGCAAGGGAAAGATTTGCAAGTTTTGAATTTTCACCTCATTCGGGTATAGTGCACCAGGGCTTCGAGAAGGATCAAAGCCTGCCCATCCTTCAATTCCATTGCTCTCCTTTGTTCTTAAGAACCTCTCAGGCTCAAACTCATGGGGGTTATCCCAAAAGTATGGAGATCTATGGAGATTGTATACCTGAAAGTAAAGACACAAAAAGGGGAATACATGAAAACCAGGGTTCCATTGAGGAAGCATAAACAAATAGAGAAAGTGGCCACTCACAGAAATGAAGATATCAGTTCCTTTTGGAACTTTATGACCTTCTTTTTCACCTTTGTATCCTCCTGCGGATGCAAGATAAAACATGGAATATTAGAGATATATGAGCTCTGGTAATTGTTGGAGACATGATGTGTTAATTCTGCCTATGGACCACATAATCCATAACCAGAAACATACCAGGTAAGGTTTCTGGTTTGAGAGTGCGTCTGATGAGCAAAGGTGGCTGAGGAAAGAGACGAAGGACTTCTACTACGATCAGTCGAATGTACCTGCAGAAGTATTGAACAAACCAGTTGACGATTCAAGCAGAGACTAAAAGAAAGATGAAAGAAGATTCTTTTGAGTTAACATACTCAAGCTTTTTCATTGATTCATAAGTGGGTGCACCTTCTCCAAGCACAGCATCAATCTCAGCTTGAGCTTTCCTAATTTTTGCAGGATTCTGCAAGTTTAGAAGAGAATGCTAAAACCTGTACAATAATAAGCTTTTTAGGTAGTCCATGTAAAAACACTCAAGTGCATACTTGTGCAAGAAGGAAAACAGCCCAAGTGAGAACTGCTGCTGTTGTCTCGTGACCAGCAATTAGCATAGTCATTAGGTCATCTCTCAGCTGTTGAAAACAATTGTGTGAAAAGGGATGAATAAACACAGAAGATGATAACAAAATTATTAATGAGAAAGTGATAAATCTTGCCTGCCGGTCATCAATATCAACACCACGCATATCGACTAAGAACCGCAAAAGACTTGCATCCTATGGGATTGAAGAGAACACAATCAGAAGATTTTTCAAAAAATGGATTTAAAAGGAAGGATTCTCTAGTACACTTGCAGGAGATAAACGATCGCAAAACCTTGAGATTAGAGTAGTCCCTTTGCTGGAGCTTCTCTACATCTGTTTCCTGAAGAATAAATAACAAAATGAGGACAGAACAGCGGATCCAAGAGAAAGAAAAAAAGAGTGAAATACCTGTCTTGTCTCTTTAGCATTTTGAATGAGTCCATCAAGGCAATCGTTTATAATTTTCAGATCGCTTTGGAACTTTTGTTGCCTTGGAACTATCCATCTGGCTGGAGGAAATTTCCAATAAGGGAAGTAGAAAGTAGAACGATGCTCTGCCTCAAAAAGAGTTCCATAAACTGCCTGTGATGTAACATAAAAAATTCAATTAAGAATAGACCAACTTATATTCAAATTCTAGTAAAGAGCCAATCTAACTGTAAAATGACTAAAAATCAAGAACCTTAATCACAGGGGACTCTTTTGTGACAGAGCCAAAGTCGTAGTTGAACACGCTAAGCCCTATAATATCAAGAGCCAGACTTGAGAATTCTGCTTCCAGATCCAATTCGATCGTGTCCTCTCCGCTAGAAACTTCTTTCTCCCTTAAAAGTTTCTCAGATTTCAATATCATTTTCTCCGAACAGTCACTAAATACTTTGACCATGGCCTCTAGATACAATGTATGGAATGCAGGAGTTATAGCTGCAACACAGATTGAAAACGAAACAATCATTAATGCAATGAGTCAATGACACTACAATATCTGAAACAGAGAGATTACAAAACTGCTTTACCTCTTCTCCTTAACTTCCAGGTATCAAGGTCAGCCGGTATCAACCCTTTTCCCATAATCGGCTCTAAGATCTCAGCGAGAACTCCCTAGAGAAACACAAGAGAAGTTACTTGATGGTCATTAAGAAACCAAAAGAAATGGTTCTTTTTCCATCAAATACTCAGTTACCTTGTCATAAGAAAACGCGTTTTCGCGGATGACATGCCTTGCAACAATCGGATCTGAGATAACAACAAAGGCTTTTGGACCAAACGCAAGTTTGTACACTCCTCCATGCTTTAGTCAAGAAAATGACCAGTATCAAACAAAGTTGATAATAAGGATAAAAGATGAGTTCTT